ATCTAAAGGTCCGTTGCACTCCATTTTTTTTTTCGCAAATTCCCCTTAATTAGGAGAATTTAATTTTGGGTATTATTTTACTATAAAATTTTTTGATTTAATGTAGTTTAAGAAAAACTGTTATAATAAAAACTGTAAAATCTATATGTTTTATAGTAATTTTTAATTATATTCATTAAATAAATTAATCAATTTATTACTAAAAAGTATTGACTTTTTTTAATTTTAATTAATAATTTAAGCTATTTAATAATTAATTTTACATTTTTTTATTATAAAAGCATAATATAATTTTGTGAAAATTTTGATTTTTTTAAAAATTTTAAAAAGTGGCAAAAAGAATGCACCAAGTTGTTTTGATTTAATGTTATGTAATTAAAAAACTAATTAGTAAATTAATATTAAATTATATGTTTTTTAGTAGGCCAAACCATATATTATTTAAGTTTTAAATTTTATTTTAATTGAATTTAAATTGATTTAATAAGAACAATTAATAATTTTAAAAAAGTTTAGTGCGTTTTTTTTGATGTCCACTGTATGAGAATTGCATAGAGAAAGTTTCCATTTATTGGAAATCATTGAGGAAATGAGTAATAATAACTACGAGATTACTAAAGATGATGTAGTGGAAGTTTTTTGTAAATCAAATACTAAAAAGATTCGAGAATCAGGTTTGAATGAGTTAGAAATATACAAAAGTGGTCGGAAACCAAAATTTGGAAAATTAAAAGAATTTTCTGGTTATATACTTGCAGATTTAATAGTACGTGGTTATGTAGAATAAAAAACTTTACTTCATTATTCTTTACCGAACGCCCAAACCTTATCGGCAAGCGTGTTTATAGAGAGACTTACGACTAAAGCAAAAGCTAGAGTTATAGAAGATTCATGGTATTATTGGGTACATAGAAAATAAATAAATATGTATTTTGTTTTGTAAAATGTAATAATAAAAAAGTATAAAAGAGAAAAATGAATTTTGAAAATGGGTTTATGTGAAAATATGTATATTTTATTTAGTATGGGTCTATGTGCTAACTTATAAGATGAGTCGAGCCAACAAATTGGCAATAAATAAAATCTAAGATTTCATATTCGCAAAACATAGTTTCATATTCGCAACTTTATATGAAGATTTTTCCAAGTTTTTTTTTAAAGAATACAGTTTCTTAAGTTAAAAAATGAAAGTTCAGAACCGTGGCTTTCTAACAGTATAAAATTTATCCTTTTATGTTAGATATTGCAGAAGTTTGAATTTTACAGAAAATTGTGTTACTATATAATGTAAATTTTGCACATCAAATTACTATGAAATTATCACGTGACATACTGCACCCTTAATACCAATTTGACAATTTTTTTTAATAAAAAGAATGCAAATAATATATAAATAGCTTTTGGCAATAATAAGAATTCAGAAGTTAATTAATATATAATCAGTACTAAAATAATAAAAGGCTATAAAAGCCTATAATATAATCAGTTATAACTTAAATAATATCTTCTACATTTTAATCATCTATTTTTATACCATTATAAATATTATTTTACTATTAGTTTATTATAGTATGTTTCAAATAAGTAAAATAATAGTTGCAATTAAATTATAAAGTTAAATTAGTATTTCACAATAATCAAACTTTTTCTCTGAAATTCAATTTAATTTGGATTAATTTAAACTCCAAAAAATAATATTTTGTAATCTAGTAATCAAATTTAAATGATTTTTTTTAATTGATAGTTTTCATTGCTCTGATTAAAATAAAAAAGACTGATAGATCAAAAGTAATTTGTAAAAAACATTTTTACCCTTTGGGATTAATTAGGGTTACATCATATTATAAATAAATTTATGCAAAATACTAATAAGTTAAATACAATTATTAGGTTATAGAGTTATAAATAGATAATAATAAAATATAAATAAGGATAGCAGAAAAAGTCTAAATCAATAATCAAAGTATTGCTAAAATTCAATATAATTTGGAATTTGGAATTGTGGATTTTGGATTTAAAATTGGCAATTTTGAATTTGAGTAGCATATATAAGCTAGAGTACTAAAAAATAATCAGCAATAGGATATTGGTATAATAATCAGATTTTGAAATTAGATTATATCAAAATAATTAGGCAATGAATAGATTAGGAAGTGATTATTAGGTTATGATACAGCAATCAGATTATATCTGAGATATTCAGTGATTATAGCAGTAATCAGATTATTATTATAAAGTAGTACTTATAACCTAGTATATACCCTTTAATATAAAGAATTAGTACACTGCTCTTTGCCCTAAAATGATCCTTTACAACATAATTGATCATAGACTATTATTGTGTTTACTAAATTATGATAGTCAGAGTGCAATGATTAAAAATTAATTTTAAAACGGAGTTGTTAATGATATATTCTTTGTTATACATATTTTCTATACTTAGACAATCATTCAACAAATACACCATTATTGCTGACTTCCATTTTACTGAAAATAAATTCATCAGTCAGTTATGTTTCACTCCTTGCTGTGTCTTAATTTCAAATAAAATTTACTGTTTTTAATAAAATTATAGGCTTATTTACTGTACATTCAAATTAAAATTATTTAGCCAATTTTAATCTGGTAAAAGATTAGAAGCAATAAATACAAAAATATTTTCAAAAAAACTTTAATGACAAGCAAAATTTCATATTCATGCCAATAGTGAAGTCAGTAAATTTTATGTCAGTGTAATTTTCATTCAAAAACTTCCACTATCCACTAAGAATTAAAAACAGTCAGTAACGATCAAATTACTGTAATAGTCATTGGGCAACTCAAACTTTACCTTATGGTTTTCTTCATGGCCATCGGCGTGGCAAGTGACTTCTTGGTTTCCATCATCCAATAGGAAATCATGGCTTGAGAGCGATTTTTTTGTGTTAACATGGCGCAAACTAATTGTGTCACCAATCACCCAATGTCCTGAATTGTCATAATCGTTATTGATGCTATGACGTTGTAATAGCCAGTTGTCATTGCTATCGGCGCCCGAAAAACAAGTGACTGCAAAGATAATTAGTCTTTATTACTTGACTTCAAACAAAAAAATTTCGTTGATTATTTACCTTCTTGTTGCTTAGTTTTCGGTGACTCGTTTGAATGAGAATGCAGATTTCTACTAGTCTTCTGATGTTTCAATCCAATAGCAGAATTAAACGCTACCGGATTGCCTACCTTGCAGTATTGTTTATGAGGTGGAATTACAATCCAAAAATCGGTTTGTCTATCTGGCTGCCAGTTGTTGCAAAATACCTAGATTTTCAGTGAAACAAAATGTAAAATATTAATCGTTATTTGATTAAATATATTCGTTACAAGAAGTTCCATTGTGTACTAACTATGTGTTGTTTTGACCCAGTGTCATATCTGATATCCTTACTAGACAAAAAACGTCCAGTAGCAACGTGTTTGAGTGCAATTTTGGAGCCGTAACGAATCTGGCGTCTATGTTCAAGCATCACGTCTTTGAAAGTCTCGATCACCTTGTCAAATGAGTTTTTATCAGATGAGTTTAGGTTTTCAATTCGACTCCTGAATATATTTCGAACAATATCGTCTGGCAAGTTCCGAAGTAAGTATCTCTTTTTCTCTTCCCAGCCAGTGATATTTGCGCCTCTACAGAGGAAAGTGAATTTCGCGATAAATTCAGACATTTCTCTATTACGCTCACATTTCAATTTATTAAGTTTCTCAAGAGAATCTGCACGGAATACAGAGTGAGTGACATGGTCTTTGAGAATACTTATAAGTAAATCAAATGAGTTTGTATCTTTGGGGATTGGAATATCGGGATCTATTCTTAGAATGGCAATATTTAGAATAGTAGATTGATCGTAGACACCCCGAAGAGCACAAAAGAAACGTAAGTCCTGGACCCATACTTCTGGCTGAATGGTTCCATCATATCGAGGTGGTAAGTTCTCCATTATTAAAATGTATATGCGTATATGCTGGTTTTATTAACTTTTTATATAGGTTTTATGTTGTCTAACGCCATGTGCATTTACATATTAACAAAATCAGAAATGAACAAACACAAACTGGGTTCTTTAACAATATGAAACGTTAAATAGATTGTTTTAAATAAATACGTTTATGGTACGTATATGTTGATCAATTTTATCATGTGATTAAAAAAATTGAAAGTCCTTAGACCCAAATCATATCGAAGCAATGACCATCATTAAAGCATAATGTATCGAATTTTTTTCTTACATGGTTTATATGCTTGCCTAACAATACTAATTGAGCATATATTTCATATAAAATTTGGATTTTTTCCATGTTAGTATCATTTATTATATATAAAATAACATTTTACGTGAATTTGTCCAAATTGATAATTAGTTATTATAGTTTTGCAGATCAGGTTAATAGTAAATGTGATCAAATAGCAACATAGTAAATTCTTACGATCGTTATAAATTTAAAAACGCAATATACAGTAATATGCGAAGTTTAACGTATCCCGTTTTCCTAATTTTAAATAATTTAAAGTCCGACACAAAAGTTTTATATGCACCATTTACTATTTGAGCTACCAGAATAGCATAATAATTATATATTGTCTGCGAATCATTTTACGCTAATTGATAAATGATTAAAATGTATAAACATGATTAATATGAATTCAGCTTTTAACGTAATTATAAGGAAAGAGATAGCAATTAATTAGTTAAACATTTACTGATGGAAGATGAATTAAGCTTACTTGGAACGAAATCGTATGTTCGAATTTTAATATGACGTGCTTTGATCTTTCATAAAATCTTATACATGTAGTGATTACCTATTATTCCAGTTTCAGAAAAACAATTAATCTTGAAATACAAAATTTTTATGAATTCACTTTTTTATAATATAAAAAACTATACTGTATAGATTTTCGTCAACTATACTATACAACATCGGAGGTATATACTCAATATCGTTTAACAATTGCGGGTACTACAGAGAGAAGTGAATTTCGCAATATATTCATACATGTTTATATTACACTTACATTTTAATTTATTAGGTCTCTCGAGAACAAGAATAAGTGAATTAAATGAGGTGATATCGATGTCTTTCAGGATCGGAATATCCAGAACAGTGGCTTGATCGTGGATACCCTTAAGAGCACAAAAGAACTGAACCTATGTATCCAGATGGTAAGTCAACCATTTTTAAAACTGCATGCTTAATTTTATCTTAATTAAATAATTTTCTAACGCCCAAGTATGTAACATTACAAAGAAGAGCAGAATTTAAATTTTTATAATGCATAGTATCTGTATTTCTTGGTATTTGCAAATGGTGATATTAAAAATAATTTTGTATTTGCCGGAAACTCACTGTATAACTATTTTAAAAGTTAATTTAAAAATGTTGCTTTTAATCATGTGAATAAAATTAACGATATTTAGTGTTCCTTATAAACAAAAGAATTCAATTTATATCAAAGACCCACAATGAGTAGGTTAAGATGTTCTTTCTCACCGACTCTTTGTAAAAAATAGGATTAGAGTGCAAGACGATTCGTTTTATCTAATGCTCGATCCCTACTTGCTACTCATTTACTTAGAAAATTATTTTGACAACTCGTTTATAGTCTGAATTTATTATAAGTACTTTGGAAGATATTTTTCATCATCTATTTTTGTTATTAAGCTCGAGATTTTTGTTAATAAATTACTTTAAATTACTTTACAAGTTATTGCGCAAATATTTCCTAAATAGATGTTACCCAAAGTCAACGTCAGTGTTTGAACCCGAAACGCATTCAGTTAGGATAGGGTCTTCACTCAAGAACTTCTATACACCACTGTGAATAAAAATAGTCAATAACAACCCAATATTAGATAATACGAACTTAATTCACCTTATTGTTTTCTTCATGGCCATAGGAGTGACAAGTGACTTCTTGGTTTCCATCATCAAATAGGAAATCATGGCTTGAGAGTAATTTTTTTGTGTTAACATGGCGCAAACTAATCGTGTCACCAATCATCCAATATCCTGAATTGTCATATTTGTTGGTGGTGCTATGGCGTTGTAGTTGCCAATTGTTATTGTTATCGGTACCCGAATAACAAGTGACTGCAAAGTCAAAGCTAATTAGTCATTATACATTACTTGACTTTCAAGCACCAAAAGCTAAGAATTTTACCTTCTTGTTGTTTAGTTATTGGTGACTCGATACCACCATGAGAATGCAAATTTCGACTGGTCTGCTGATGTTTCAATTCAATAATAGAATTAAACGCAACTGGATTTCCTGGCTTGCAGTATTGTTTATGAGGTGGAATTACAATCCAAAAATCTGTTCGCTTGTCTGATTGCCAGTTGCTGCAATATACCTGGATTTTCACGCAAAAATACCAATTATTATTTGAATTCGTATAGCCTTTATAAGAGATTCAAGTGTATACTAACCATATATTGCTTTGATCCGGTGTCATATCTGATATCTTTACTAGATAAAAAACGTCCGGTAACAACATGTTTGAGTGCAATTTTGGAACCGTAGCGAACCTGGCTTCTATGATCAAGCATCACTTCTTTAAAAGTTTCGATCACCTTATCAAATGAGTTTAATTTTTCAATTCTGTTCCTGAGTACATCCCGAACAATATTGTCTGGCATGCTTCGAAGTAGATAATCCTTTTTCTCTTCCCGGTTGGTGATGTTTGCGTTACTGCAGAGGGAATTGAACTTTGCAATAAATTCAGACATGTCTATACTACGCTCACATTTCAATTTATTAAGTTTCTCAAGAGAAACTGCGCGGAATACGGAGTGAGTAACATGGTCTTTGAGAACATTGATAAGAGATTTAAATGAATTAATATCTTTTGGGATTGGAATATTGTGATCTATTCTTAGAATGGCTATGTTCAATATAGTAGCTTGTTCGTGGATACCCATAAGAGTACAAAAGAAACGCAAGTCCTGAATCCAAACTTCCGGATGAAGAGTGCCATCATATCGAGGCGGTAAGTCAATCATTATACTCATTAAATTTTTGAAAGTACTATTTTTTTTTCATCCTTTATATCATATTATGGTTATCCATTGTGATACTTAATCGGGTTGACTAAATTTTGGCTGAGTTATTTAAAATGGATAAACCACTTAAGATACTATGAGGTTTAACTATCTTATTGTTGTAAACAACACTAATTTGGTTATACAATTGGACAAAATAAACCTTTTTGTAAGCAACTGCCTTATTTTTTCAACAATACTTTGGGAGTTGTACAAGTCTTATTACAATGTTTTCAAACTCATTTAGTAATAGTAATATCGGTCGATGCATTGGTTGTATTTTATCACGATGAGGAAATTATGGAAATTATGATAAATAGTTATATACTTTATTATTTATTTATTACATAAATTGCGGTGATATAATTTGAAAAACGATATAAACATCTAATACGAATTAAAATTAAAAATCGCGAAGAAAATGATTAAACTCCTAAAATACGATTTCGCATATTTGGTCTTTTAAACTTATTGTTCAGGAATTTCTTTAAACATATATGTAAATAATACGTATATAGATAGATGTATATTTAATATCGAAATTGTAATAAAACAAAACAGAAAGGAGGAAGGAATAGTTTTATAAGCATTAAAAATATATCGGGTTTAAATATGTATATATTCGAATGCGAACACGAGCGATTTAAAAAAATATATTTATTTAAATTTATGTACGAAGAAAAAAATATTTCGATATACCGATTTTAATTAAACGAAATGATTTTAATTAAACGAAATGTTTACAACAGCAAAAGAATATTCGTTTATAAATTTAATATGGATATTGTTCGAGGAAAAATATTGTTCGAGGAAAAAATATTGTTCGAGGAAAAAATATTGTTGTTCGAAAAAAAAATATTGTTCGAGGAAAAATGTTGTTCGAGGAAAATGAATGTGTGTATGTAAGATATAAGTATTAAATTACGGTTTACGTTTTTATCGTTGAATGAATTTATTAATGGGATCATAACATTAATAAATCATATGAATTCGTGATCATCCGATATTCGATGATGATGAGGAATCTGAAGTGTATAAAAAGTGAACTTATTTATACCTAAAAGAATTATAAGACTATCTAATCATCTGATTTATTCATATAATAATTGTCTCAAGTGTTTGAATCGTGTTTTACGTTTTTGGATATAAAAAAATTCTTTGCTAGGAAATAAATAAAGAAATCTTTAAGAAAGAAATCTATTTTCCGTACAATATTTGTTAAAATTAACATGAATTTTTCATTTTTTACTTTAAACATCTATTGTTTTCAAGTTGTCAATTTTCTATTGTCTCTTTGTTTCTATTTTTGTCCTTTATTTATGTTATTTATGAGGTTGCGTCATTGCGCGTCACATTTTCACCATAAATAAATATAGTATACCAAAAATGTTTATACCTTTATATTAAAATTATCGATCAAAGAAAAAGAGTATTTCTAAAGAAAAAAAAACAATAATTAAAGCTTAAAAAGAACCGTAAACATATTATGTCCTGGTCATTTTATTTATAAAATGATTTTATTTTGTTTGATATAGCTAAAAATAACAAGAAACAAATCTTGTAATTTGAAAGTATTGTAATCATATGTTTTTATTATTTTTTTTATTTCACAGTGTAGAAAGGATACAGTAACTACGAAAATATAACTCTCATGTGATTCTGCGCCACTCTCCTATCCTCGTGATCTTTCGTGATTTGCGACACAGGCCTCCATGCATTTTAAGTCTACTAATTCCCGAGGAGGGATTTGGTTATGTACCTTCTTACAATAGTTGTTACGCTTCTACATTTACATCTTACATATTTACGCATCTACATTTTATGTTTTTACATATCTACATTTTTATACTTTATGCGTCTACATTTTTACATTTTATGCTCATTTTACGCTCATTTTTACATTTTTACACCTTTTTTACTTAAGTTTATGTGCTATCTATCAGAACAATCCGTTTTCATCAGACTAACAAACATCAGTTATCAGCAACTATAAGAATGTATTATGACCTTATTATTTGTATGAAAACACAATTTAAAATTTCATATTCTTAAGAAATTAAGCTCATCATAAAAAAAATGAGAACTTATCATAATTTTCTATTATCATGTTATTATTTTATTATTATTAACTAATACTTTTAGTTACAGGTATATTCATTTTAAATTTGAATATAACACATCTATTTTTTATTATACCATTTATAATCAGAAATTTTCTGAACAAAATGGAGTCTAATAAATTTTTTATCATTTAGAAAAACAAATTCTAGAATTTTATACTGAATATAAAATTTATACTGATAAGGTATTGTATCAATCATATAATATTTAGATTATTCTTATATCAGATTACCAATTATACAAGATCTATAATTTCTTAATCTTAAAAAAACTATATATAAGCAATTGATATTTATTTCAACAAAAGTTTACATACATATTTCTATATATTGTTGATACAATAATAATTGAAATTAAAAATGAAACCAGAATACCAGCAACCTTTACCATCTCAATGATCTTAACAAAATTAACTCTACATCATATATAAGCAAAAATAATAAATATAATTGCAAATTAAATGACCAATATATATTTGTAAAATTCTGGAATTAGTTATTAATAGAAATGATTTCAGAATTAATTTATCAAATAAGACATTAACTACCTTGCAGAAACCCTATCAATATAAAAAATATGTTAGAGATATTTTTAAAATATACCAAACATATGATATTCATATTTATGTTAACTCTGTTTTAACTATATGTTGACAATATGCTGAACATATAATATAGAAATCTAATTTTTATATAATAACTATATGTTATATATATGGTAAAAATATTTTTTTAAATGTGGCTATTATATGTCGAATATGTATCAAAGATATGATAAAAACATTATTTCGAAATGCCAATTTTATATGGTCATCATATGTCAAATATGTATCAATAATATAATAGATATTTAATTTTATAACGATTATACATATGAAAATATATTAAAAACAGAGTAATAATAACAAAATAGTAAAATAATCATGTGTCAATAATATAAAATAATGNTAATAATAACAAAATAGTAAAATAATCATGTGTCAATAATATAAAATAATGCAACGATTGTACTATAAAGATATTTTGATTTTTCTTGTCTTTTTCGTTAAATTAAATTTGTGTATATGATTGATTTAGGGAATTTGCGAATTCTGATAATGAATCAGAGGAGACCTACAAAGTGAAAGATGAAGTTACTGTAATTGACGACTTTTCACAAGAGTTCCAAAATAAAAAGTCCTACAAAAGAAAATAGAAAAATATTAATAAAAAGCTGTATTATAATAAAGTTTTGAAACTTTTTTTTTGGAACTCACTTGAGAATCCAATGCCCACAACGAAGTTAATTTCTATACAAAAAGGGGAAACCTGTTAAAAAAACTTTTTACTTTATAACATCTTTTTTCGAAACTCAAGTATCTGGGATTCTGTTTTTCCAAGTTGGATCCAATTTCCCTACAAAAAGGAAAAAAAAGCTATAAAAACTTTTTTTTATAGTTACAAATTCCTTTTCAAAAAACTCACTTGGGAAGTCACATCAGAGCTAATTCCCCTAAAAAAAAAAAGAAAATGGTAAAAAAGTCTTTTGTATGAAATTTTAAGTTCCTTTTTTTCGAAACTTACTACTAATTAGGATTCCAGTTTCCAAGCCGGAGCTGATTTCCCTTCAAAAATGGAAAAAAAGAAAACTTTTTTAAAGTTTCAAATTTCTGTTAGTGTGATGTCCGAAGTGAAAATATAAAACTTTCAAGTCGCAGAAGGATCTGGTAACGAAAATAATCATTCCCGCTCTATTCAAAGTGTTAGATACCAACACATATCTGGTTAGTGAAGGCGTGCTTCTTTGGAACTTACCTGTTCTGTGCTGCTGCATATCCAGACTTCTCTAAAATTAGAAAACCCGAGGCTGATTTCTCACTGAAATCATATGTGTCCAAGCCATTTAAAATAAAAGAAAAAAAGAAAAAAGAAATTAGTAATCATTTTTTAAAAGACGAAATATAAAATTTTTAAAAAAAATAATACACTCACCAAACTTCCACGTTCAGAGAACCAAAAAGCTGCCTAGAGAAGAAATGAAATGAAATATCAATAATTGTTTCAAGAGGTAGGCTAAAAATATTCCTCTTTACCAAATCCTTGTCCAAGAACTTTCAAAAAATACGGAAATTTACATTTGTCTAAAAAAAAAGTGAAGGAAAGAGAAAGTATGAAAGAGAGAGATAAGGGAAAAATGAAGGAGGGGAATTACGAAAGAAAAGGAAAGGTGAAAATGAGAGTTTAAACTTTTTTTTAAACTTTTTTTTATACTTTAGACTTTTTTGTTTAAAAAAGTATTAAATCACGTGATACACGTGATAATTTAATATAAATATAGTCTCATTTTTCCGATAAAAAAGTTT